TCTTTGAACCACGCCACATGAAATGCACCCGCGGTCCACGATACATTTTATTTAACGTTGTTGAGATTTGGATTTGGGTCACATGAAATGCACATCCGAGTTTAAGGAAATTGATTTAAATAGCGCGCCTAAAGCAACTACGCACTTTCAAGTTTGCGAGGGCCACAGAAAATTCAACTAATGGCACACTTCGATTTTTTAAAGAGCTAAAATTAATTAAGGGCCATGAGCTTTGGAATTTTATTTGGCATGACACACCTCAAATTATTTCAAAAGGTTTTATTATTCGAAGTTGTTATAATCGGGTTACATGAAATGCACACCCGAATTTGGGAATTAGGTATCATGACTATGTCACGGGAACCGTGCCCATAGTCACGATGATTATTATTAATCGCGCCTATAGCAACTACTATGTTCTGAAATGCCAATCTTGTTGGAGGCTGCAGTGTTTGTACTACTGACGATAATCAGAAAGCCAACTGTTTATCTCGTTTTACATGGTATGGTATCAGAAGAATAGTTGATGTAGGATCATTTGTCTTTTTTATTTTCAAGATCATATTTGCAGTAGGATTGGGAGTGCTAGTGATTGGGATAGAAGCGAAACACAAGTCAAGAATTTTGTGTGGTTTTATACATCACAATTACCTATCCATTGGTGGAATTCTGTGTTTTGTTCATACCCTCTCACAATTATTCAACACTTGTATAACCCATATAGCCTAATGTTCATTTTAAATTTTCAAGACTTTGAATAGCTTCAGAAACATAAGAGATGATCAGGTTTTGTTTTATTATAAACTAAGTAAAAAAAAGTTTCATACGTTCATATCAAAGTATAACCGAATGCATCATTTACAACTGGGTTTGTTCATGAAAAAGAAACTACTCCCTTTGTGAAAAGAAAAATGAAAGGATGATACACTGTTCAAGATCAAGACATCTAACTATTGTTATATATAGGCAATGATTCCTTAAGTACTGTAAATAAACAATTTGCAATATAAAACATCACATTTGACTCAAACCATGAAGATATGCCTAGATATATTTGGCTAGTCGCTATAACCCAAAATACAATCATTAGTGATTTATTTTAAACTAATTTCGCACAAAAAAGAAACAAACTGAATTCTGTGTGTTCTCATGTCAAAATTCAGAATCCAAGGAAATTCGAACAATGTCCAAAAAGCACGGACAATTATTTATGAATTCACCTATATCCTTATTTCTGAGTATATTCGGTACAATTCGAATTTGAGGTTAAACAATGAAGGAATATTCAGCAAACATATAGATGAACGAACTGAGGCAAATTTTATAATGCTAGAACATCCGTATGGCAGTACAAAACCTGAGACTGAAATTAATACCTGGATCGGAAGGAAACAAAGCTGACACAACTAAATAAAAGCTAGTTGCCAGAAATCTAGAGATAGAAGATGAATCCAACAATAGAAACAACCACGAACCAACAATAGCAACTAGAGCACAAGTCCATAGCTCTGAAACAGATAACCCAGCAGATTCGACAACTTCAACAGCTGAAACCGTTTGGAGAAACAGCTTTGGGCGACCCCTTCCCCTTCCTCTTTTTTTTTCGTTTCAAGCATGGACCTTTTTTTTAACTTTTGAATTCAAACGAAGGCCTGCTAATAAGACTTCAACAAATCGGAAACATCGACGGGCGGAAACTCGAACCTCGACGACATAATAGACTTTGGACTCGACCTTTTCGAACTCCTTTTAAATTCAGCTGAAGGAAACAACCATTTACCGATTTTTGGTGACTGTTTTGGGTTGATTTTAATGACTACTTTGACTGGTTTTGGGGTGGAAACGAAGAAGCAAGGGGGATTAGGGTGTATAAGGGTTAAGGAAGAAGAAGCAACGGCTGGTTTCTTGGGTCCTAGGTCTTAGGTCAGTGAAAAATGGGGGAAGGGATGGTCTTTTTTCGGTCTTATCTCTAATGTGTGTGTACGATTTTTCTTTTCTGATTTTTGAGACTCAGGATGAGATCAGGAAAAGAGGGGAGTAGTTCTTGGTTCTTGAAGAATATGAACAGGGGAGGCGTCTCTTTTTTTGTTCTCCACGGCGCTAGGTGTTAGCTGTTTTAAGTGTACGTACTATTATATATGGGTAGGGATTAGGTTAGGGGTATGGGCCTAGGAATTATGGGTTTGGTAATTATGGACTAGGTCCAAAAATTAAGCCTAAAAATGGGTTGCTCGAGCCCAAGTTCTATTTTTTCCCCGCGAACGAGATTAAAAATGCGATCTCATTTATTAATTAATCCTACTTAAGTAAAATAACTATTAAAAGAAGACTGACTGTTAAAATAAACTATATTTTTTTGATATTTTTTCAAGATTAAAAATGACTACAAAACATTAATGAACCTATTTTTTGTAATTTTCGTTTCTTGTAATAAAATAAAAGTAAAAGAGTAAAAATGAGTTAAAATAGCTATATTAAGCCTAAATTAAATATTTACGTGCTAAAATATGAAAAATCTTGGGGAAGGTCAAAAATCACATGTCTACAGTACCCCTGAGGAAGCTAGGCGTGAATAGGTGCAAAAGGTGGTGGACGGAAACGCTACATTCCGCCAACCCTGCATACTTGGTCAATAGTAGAAGCACCTTGAGCGTATATGGTGAAAGTTGTGCCGGGCAAACTTGGTAGAATCTACAGAATTCTTCCGCTAAGGGGCAGAGAGAAAGAGTATAGTCGATCATAAAAGGGTACTCATAGAAAGCGCAATACCCAGGTCTGTGGACGTCCACGTAATCTCTCCCCGCCGGAACTATTTCCATATGAGCAGGAATGTCATACTTTATACGAAGGGCATCGATATGGACCTGCTCCATCTCAGAAAATACGGGGTTCGGGGTAAGAGGGGGATCTTTGAGGAAGTCACTCCGGGATAAGGGGTGTCTCGGTAGTAACTCCTCCACCGTAGTAGCGCGGTCACCCTCTTCTACCACCATATCTCCGTCGTCAGAAGGAGGCACCGTGGACGACGGGGTGGCTTCAGGAACCTCTTCACGAAAGCGACGAGACCTCGGCATGATATCGTTCAAAGGAATACCAACACAAAGGGAGGAAGGAAGAAGAAGCTTCAGGTGAGGAACGAAAGAAGAAACAAAAGGATATGAGAGCAAATGAGGAAGAGTGAAAGAGGTTATCAAGAGAGAAATGACTAAAGTTTTTCGGAAAATCAAATCATTCACCTATTTATAGGGTTGGGTGGCACCAGAATCGAGGCGGCAGGTCTCAAAGCAGCGCAAGAATCGAAGCACCAAGCCGTCAATCCCTGCCTCGAAAACCTTCGTAATGATGATGCACATAAAGCTGACATCACTTCCCGGTAAAGTGTACCACTCGGTGTTTTGCTGAACATGATGACCATTTCCTGTTGGCCACGTCGTAACGTTTCAACAAGTCAAATTTCTCCAAAAGAATGCACGAAGTCCGCTCATCGAGGACGCATCCGGTCGCAACCCCGACGAGCAGAGGGACTAACTGTATGGGTCCAAATTTGATCGACCACGACCTACAACGAGTACGACAAACGACGGGGTATCAAATGTGCACGACATCACCCTTCGTGCTTTATCACTCTTCCTCACCATATGAATCATATAAATGTGCACGGCATCACCCTTCGTGCTTTATCTCTCTTCCTCACCATATGCATCAATATAAATGTAAATGTGCACGACGTCATCCTTCGTGCTTTATCACTCTTCCTCACCATATGAATCATATAAATGTGCACGGCATCACCCTTCGTGCTTTATCTCTCTTCCTCACCATATGCATCAATATAAATGTAAATGTGCACGACGTCATCCTTCGTGCTTTATCACTCTTCCTCGCCATATGAATAGTATTAATGTAAATGTGCACGACATCACCCTTCGTGCTTTATCACTCTTCCTCCCCATATGAATAATGTAAATGTGCACGACATCACCCTTCGTGTTTTATCCCTCTTTCCTCACCATATGAATCATATAAATGTAAATGTGCACGACATCACTCTTCGTGCTTTATCACTCTTTCCTCACCCAAACAATAGAAACAACAATATCCCGGCAAGGGAATCAACAATAGAAACAATAACATCACGGCAAGAAAAACAATATCATAAGCAAAAACATCCCGGCAAGGGAAACAATATCATAAGCAACAACATCCCTGCAAGGGAATCAACAAGTACATCATAGGGTCACGGAAAAACCAAGAAGCACGATAACCTCAACAAAACAACAAGACATAATAAGCATGTGATAACTACACCGGTAACCACAACAATTGGACATGTAACATATTTGCACGAAGTCATAGAAGAACTCACAATCAAGAAGTATCCAAAACTATAAGGAAGGCAATCACTTCAATTAAGGCAATTAAGGGTCAATGTAACACGTAAGAATTAGAGGAATGTTTACGACAAACGACGGGGTATCTTCGAGTCGACGTCCCGAGGGAGACGACCTTAGGGCAAAAGAAGAAACTGTACGACCCCTGTAGTAGAGTAAGCCCATTATGGGACATTAAGAATATTAGGTCGAATATTTCTTGTATTTTGTTTCTTATAATTTAGAAGAGTCTCTCTCTAGTATATAAGGGGGACAAAAACCTTGTAATAGGGCATCGATACTCTGGGAAACTTACCATTCTTGAATGAAAAGAAACTTAACAACCACCTCCTCTTCATCTATTATTATTCATTCTAGAGATATTATCTTCAGCTAAGATTTACTCATTCATCTTCGATTGATTTATTCAAAAGGTTTTAACACCTTTTGAGTCAAAGAGTGCTCACTAGGGAAAAAAGTTTCCTCGGTATTATACCAAATATCTCTCTATGTTAATTTTTTGATAATAAACTTAAGCAACTGCGACAATTATAAATGATATCTAAATTCTTTGCAAGCCAGAAAGGAGTAATTAATTTGATAAACGCAGAGATAAAGGAAAATAGAAAGTGATTAATAAATCCCCAGTTTCCTTGTACTCTTCAAAATATCAAAAGTACAGTCAACTGACTCATTTAACTGATTTTTTTTAAAAGCAGAAACTAAATTCCACTGCGGATAAATTCCTACAACTAAAGTAAATATATCGAGCCCAGTGAAATATTAATTTATGAAACTTTCAAAGGATAAAATCTTCATTTACTCTTTTACCACTCTGATTATCCATTCGTAAACCACACTTTCTGGCCTGAAGATGAAACTGAGCCACCGCCGCTAATAGCTTCACCGCCTGCTTCGGCGGCAAAATATCTAGAACCTTCCTCACCGCCGATCCTCTTAGATGCTCCGCTGCTTCAATCATCGCCATCATCGACTGTTTCAACCCATCAATTATAGTTTCCAATTCCGAAGCTTCCCCATCAACAAGCAATCCCCCTCTTTTCATCAGCTCAAATATCGGCGGCGCCGCCACGCTTTCTTGAACCTTCGCCATTCCTTTTTCAATTGCCTGTTCGAAACATTATACAATTAAGTAATTAATTCCGGCAATTGTTAAGATTTTCAATTGCCTGTCACACAATTCAACGTAATATCAGATTAGATTTTAAAAAGAATTAAAATATTTTCACATGTTTGACACATAAAATATACTAACTAGGCTAATTTACCTTCTCGTCTCTTTTAATCTCTGATTTTAGCTTCTTCAATTTTTCGCCTTGGTCTGGTGTTAATTCTTGGCCTATTGAGTAATTAATTGTAGGAAAGAGCATAGAAGGTTTAAAACCAGCCATCCAAAGAAACGTTCTTTCTAAAGAAGTATACCAAGGTGGAGAATTAAGAAAAAATGTATCTCCATTAGTTGCCTTGAATTTTTCTTGATAATATTCTTGGTAATGATCCAAAACTTGTGTCACCAATTTGCTGCTGCTGCTTCTATTTTCTTCTGCTTCTTCATTGAAGACATCATATGAGGCTGAGACTTCATTTAGTTTTTCAAGAAAATTTTCTAGTTGGATTAGCCAATTTTCGTAGTAGGTATCAATATTGGCTTCAAAAGAGGGATTTTTTGAAGTAGAGGTTGTGGCCATTTTTGAAATTTGGAAGTGGCGTTATGCTTGGAGGGAACACAAGTGTAATATGGCTATATATATATATATAGAAAGTATTTAATTATTTTTTGCATGTTTTCTTGGTCGGTTAAAGTTTATTTTTTTTTTTAAAAAAAAAATGTTGATTTTAATATAAAAAAGAAGAAGAGGGATTTTAAAGATTTTCTTTTTTTTTAAAAAAAAATCATCTTAGGAGTTAAGATTTTTGTGTTGTCAATAACTAGAGTTGGTGTTTGAGGTGGTGCTTCATGCTTAATTGTTGATGGCGGTTTGTTTTTATTACTATATTTTTGGTTCAGAAATGGACATAAGTATTGGTCTACGTGTGACTAGTGCTGTTTCCTTCTGGGACACACCACGAGTGGAACGCGTTAAGACATTCTTTAGATAGTATCTTTTGGGTACGTTTAAAGCAAGGATATTTCACTTTAGTACCCACGTTTTTTGAGGAAATTAAGTTGCACGTCATATGATTTGTAAGATTTAAAACTATGGACTTTTGTGCTGTAATTGTACCGCTACTACAACTTGCTTAGTAAGGTTTCAAAGTTGACCATTCACTCAATTTAAAATACACTAGAAAAGGGAACTCTTGTACCGCTGCTCCAACTTGCTTATTAAGGAGTCGTTTAGCAGAATGTATTAGATAAAATAATATAGAATTAGTTTTGTATATTAATAAAATTTTGTTTGGTAGATATTTTAAACCGATACATTAGTTATGCAGGTATTGGTTATATATTCTATTTGGTATTATCTTATGCATAACTAATGCATAGAAAATAATGGTATTAGCAATGCAATGAGTTTTAATGCATGCATTAGCTTAGTTAAAGACAAAATTGGCCTTCAAAATTTATGCTTGATTAAAATATGCTAGTTAATATATTAATGCAAGTATAAAATAATCCAAATAGTGAGAAATAAAATTATATCTCTAGTAACTAAATAAATACTTAACATATTTCCTTTTTTATAAATAAATATTTGGTTATATATTATAATATAGGTAGACAAATCAAATAATTTTTTTAAAACCTTTTCATATAAAAAAATTTCTCAACATATGTTTCTTTTAAAAAATTAGAGTGATGGACCGGTTTTGAGGGCATTTTTGTAAATAAACAATTCTTTTAGAAATTGTGCAATGCTTTAATACATCAAACCAAACAATGGATAAGAAATATGTTAGCATAACTAATACCAGCATAACTAATGCAAGCATAACTAATACTAGCATTACTAATACACATATTCAGCATTATTCTTATGCACCCTACCAAACGACCCTTAAGGGTTCAAAGTTGACCATTCACTCAATTAAAAATACACTAGAAAAGGGAACTCTTGTAGTTTTCGCTCATACTGTAAAAGAGAAGAGTGAGGGGCGGAGCTAGTCGATTCAGATTCGGACGAACTCAGTAATTTCTGTTAGATAATATATTTATATTAAAAAAATATTTATTTATTTATTTATTTAATTACAAAGCCAAATATTAAAATAAATTATAGATTCAGTGACAAGTTCAAAACTCACAAAATTCAAATCGTAACTCCGGTTACGTCATGGGATGAAGGCCAGGCTCCACCTAAGAAAACTAGCTAGTGCCCCACACACACCTTTTTCTATTACTATTGTGTACGGATAAAATTGAGAATAAAAGTTATCCCTGATTTCCCGATAAAAAAACGTGAGGGAAGCACGATCTGGCATGACCTCGTGTAAAGTTGAGGGTCCACGTCTCAAAGTCCAGGGAGGACGAATGGTTCACCCGGGACCGGATACTGCCGAGCCTCGCAGAGTGAAGAACCGAGACAAGGGAAAAAGCGGTTAGGCACGTTAAACGGGGAGCCGTAATATCCGCCCTCAACCGGATGTTACGGTGCAAATCCCGCCCGATATCAACTGCAGATCAATATTTACTGGAAGGAGAGGATTGTTTTTACCTTATTTAGACTCGTACTAGGATTGAAATTCCCCTACTATATAAAAGGTGAACCTTTTCATTTTAAAATCACTGTGGGCACGCATATCAAAACAATAAAAGTTTATTTTTGTTCTCTAACTATTGTTCAAAGTGTTCTTCAGCTGCTTATTTACCTAGTTGCAACCGACCTCGTATCGAGGGCTCAACCAGGGTCAACTTTCAGTGTTCATCCAAAGGCCAGGCTTAATTGTTCATCACGTTTGGTTTGATCATTTTATTTCTCTTTACTTTAATTATTTTCTGTTCATAGGTCATTCGTATTTAATTAAATCACGTATCCTTTAAACCACATACAAATTTAATTGTTACTTATTTTATGGATAAACAACTACATATATTATATTTAATTCCTCAAATGATTTGCTCTAAAAAGAAATAATATGGATCGTAGGTCGATGCACAAACCGAAAGAAAGCAATTAGAAGAAAAACATATGTTACGATGTTATGCAATCAACCTAATAAATATACTTTATCATATTACTCCCTCCGGTCCACAATAAGTGACCAATTTTTTTTTTTTATTTTGGTCCAAAATAAGTGTCCATTTATATAATCAAGAAAGAATTCAATTTGTTTTTACAAGATTACCCTTATGTACATAACCCTAATTTTTTTTTTACTTCTCACATGAAATATTTAATTAAGGGTGGTTTAGTCATACTAGGTAATTTTGTATAGAGTTTAATATTTTCTTAATTGACGTGCCAAAAATAAAGTGGTCACTTATTGTGGACCGGAGAGAGTATGATTTTTTGGGCTTCATAATTATCGATTTGGTAACACTTCAATCTTAATGCATAATGAACGGAATTTGTGCTTCTCTATCTTAATACCAAACGAATTAAAATTTATGCTTACAAATGTAAGTTTTTCAATACGGGTTTTGATCCTTATCTTCCTAATTGTCTTTACGTTGGTATAATAATATTGTTGGGATTTAACTTAATAAATGTATATAGCATTCATGTACACAAATAATCATTCATGAATTACGAATCTTATTTCAAAGTACTAATTTATACATAGATGAATCATTCATTAACCTAAGATAAATTCATGACATTGGTCATGTATGTTTGAATAAATTTGGTAAGATACATAACTTTTGATACGGTATAATCCGATAAACTAACTACTTTTTGCTACAAACACAATAACTTTTGGAAAATACACAAATAGTTATTATACTTAATAATCAATACACTTTGCATGACTTTAACCTCCAAAAATTCCAAATGCATAATACACAAATTATTATGTCATGTATGTCATATTTTTCGAACTTTATATGCAATATCCAGATATTTAACTTTTTATATAACTTGCTAGATAATTAACAGTATGACGTGTGAAATCTTTTTGAAGTTATTCACCCTCATAAAACAATCAATTCTTAAATATTTGCAAAGACTGGTAAAACCCAAAATGCGATGGCGAAGCTCATTAAAGAATCCTCTTCTAAAGTGTAAAAAGAAGAAGACAAAAAAGTAGAGCCGTCAATATGGGCTGGGCCGGGTTAGCCCAGCCCAGTCCAGTCCACGTGGGCTTTAGCAATTGACGGACTGGACTGGGCTAGCCCACCATTTTGATGAGCCTTATAATGGTCAGCCCACCCCAATCTTATGTGGGCCGCGGACCCCCACGGGTCAGCCCATCATTTTTAAAAATATAATTTTATATTTTTTCTATAAGTTCTGACCTAAAAGAAGATAATTATTTAAAAGTTAAAAAATATCTTATTGGAAAAAATTCGCAAAACTTAATAACTTTTTATATTGTTCCAATATATCACAATAAATACTAAAAAAAGTAAAAGACAGGACTATATTTCATTCACTAAAAGTCAAAGCTTAAAACAAACTATTCAAGAGAACGTTCATGATGCTTATGAGATATCCAACACATTATCTTCATCAAACACATTTGAATCCGCTTGTGACAAGGTTGTCTTAACTTCTTCACTTTCATATACAATTTATATGCAATATTAATTAGTTAAATAATTAAATTTTAAAAATTAATAATATTTAAATTCACATAAAAAAAATATTACCAGTTTGAGTTCGAAAAAACCTGTGCAGCCAATTTCAAGTAGTAACAACATTTTCATAATAAATGCAACTTCTGTACTTTGTAAGAACACGTCATCAATGCTAAATGTTGATTTTGATGGTGCAATGACAATAAGAATGCTAAGTACATCACGCACCATCATTGAAAGATCGGGATGTTTTCTAGAATGGTCCTTCCAATACATGACGACATCATCTCTTGAAACTTCTCAAGATCAGGTTTTGATTCCTCTTAGTAAAGATCCAATTCTGACTTTCCATCTCTAAAAGCAGTATATTTTTTATTTTTTATATATTTTAAATAAATATTTTATTAGGCCCACGGGCCGGCCCGACCCACTCTCAGTCAATCCTCACGGGCCACGGGCTTACTCGGGTCGGGCTTAAAAGCCTCATTTTTAAACGGGCTCCAAAAATTCTAGCCCAGCCCTGCTAAATCACAGGCTGGGCTAGGCTAGCCCAATGGGCTAAGCCCATATTGACGGCTCTACAAAAAAGGTATCAAATTCATATATGTTATGAAATATAACTCATAGTAGCAATATGGAACAAGGAAATAAAAGCAATTTAGTAAAACATGAACAAGAAATGGAGATAGAGAGAAGGAAGAGATTTTCTTCTTCAATTGTGTGTATTTTCCTATATATTACAAGACCTTTATATAGGCATGAACAGTGAAGAAAATATGTCATGGAATATGTCATTGAACATAGAAAATATGTCAGTGAATATGTCATTAAGCATTTGACATGAAGATCATAGAGGAAGAGTAGACATCCACTATAATATGATATCTATCATAACACTCCCCCTTGGATGTCCATAAATAATGTGCCTCGATAAAACCTTATTAGGAAAAAACCCTATGGGAAAAAATCCTAATGAAGGAAAAAGAGTACACATATTTAGAAATACACCTTTTGGTTGCCTCGTTAAAAACCTTGCAAGGAAAACCCAGTGGAGCAA